CATTGAACACAATGAAAAAGAAAAGGATTAACTTAGAAAATATTAAAGAAGACAGTTGTACTTCATCACTGTGTCCCACTATAGCCAATTCGGCAACCATTGGACACAATGAAAAAGAATATGATTATTTTTTAAAATATTAAACAGGATATTTATAGTTTATCACTGTGTCCCACTATAGCCAATTTAGGGCACATAGGAAAAATTATTAGATCACTATTTTTTTTAAGTGAATAGGGCGGGCCTTTTTATTTATTTATTTTTTTTTAAATCGGAACAACTGCTTTTTTTTAATAGATGAGGGAGGGACTGTTTTTATTTGGCAAGAATATTGTATAAAACTGGTTTGATTTTTATTGTTTTTTAAAGAAAACGTAGGCCTATTTCCAATCGCAAAATTACATTGTTTTTTATGCTGTTGAAAAAATGATGCGGCCAAGAAAAAGAAACACTTTTTAAAATTTCCGCATCAATATTTACCAATTTTTTTGACGTAAACTCAACCATACATATTCAAAAACAGAGTGACGAAAAGGACCTCCACGAAACTCGTAGGAGCTTTTAAAATGGAGACCCGGTGTTAAAATTAAAGTTTGTTTACATAAAGACAGTATATAACTGCCTAACTACAAAGATACACCCCCTCTCACCCCAACATATTTATTTGATTTACATTTATTTTGAACATTGCCATTAGGACATTGTTTAAATCCACACTGGCCTATATTTTACACTGATTGTACTGTCGGCAATACCAGAGAGGTTCATTTCCATTACATTATGGTCTTCCATTTCTATAGCGCATAATACAGTGCATGACAAACGTCACTTAACCGCTACTAATTCCACCTTAATTCGGAGTCGCTCAGCTCAGTCGTCTTACATGTGTAAATGTTCGTATTGACACTGTGTTTTTAACATTGTTTTAAAGAAATATCTTATCAGACATTTATATGAACAACAAAACGAATGGAAATATATATTTTGTCTTAAGTATTGTTTTCAGCAAAATGGCGTATCCATAATTTAAAGAACAGGGTGCTGATGTAATGGGAGTCCACATCACGTCAGTGCCATCGTGGGTTGGCGGTGACGCAAAAGTTTCAGTATTTTATACCACTGGATGCCCCAAAATAGAACTTACATTACCTATTAAATAATAATGTTTTTGACGAATTGAGTAAAAAAAAAACACCAATTAATTAATTAGGTACCAGAAAAAGAAATTTAAATACGTACTATTCTAAAAACTACCACATTCAACTGAGCCCCACTATGGTTGGGGCTCAGGTGAGAACATTTTGAGAAGTTGAGACTCGTTAAATGCACAAAAAGCACTTGAATAGTACAACATTTACGATATCTACCTGAGCCACACCATGGTTTTGGGTCGCAGATGAGTCAAATGCAAGAATTGGAGACTATAGATGCCCCAAAACAACACTCGTATACTTAAAATTTATGAAAAAAAATTCCAATCCATCTATCTCAGCCCACCATGGTTGAGGCTGAAGTAAAGCAGTAAGAATTACAGACTTTTAGATGCCGGAAAATGGCACTTTAATACATAAAAACAACACAAATTACCGTACTATATCCCCATCATGGATGAGGCTGAGGTGAGAAAATGTTAAAAATTGGGGAATTTTGATGCCGGAAAATGGTAATTTCATACATAAAAACTAGAAAAATAACTATATCCACCTGAGCCCCCTCATGTTTGAGGCTGCATGAGAAAAAGTTGGAGAATGGCACTTAAAAACTTAAAATTTATGTTGGTTATTTTTTTGACATTTGAAAAGGGGATGTCACCGGGACGCAACTGCCAAAAAAACTATTTTTGGCAGCCAAGGGATGCTACCAATAAATAATCAACAAACTACCGGGTTTCTGGGTTGATTTTCAATTACTACATGGCTCAACTATATTTTACTTTAGGTTAATTGGTAAAAATCGCACACAAATCATACGACGTCACTGACAACGCCGGGGACGGCAACTCGATTTTGAGATTAATTTTCCCAATAAAGTTATACTAAATAACTTCTAATAACGAACTATTGTATTCAGCTGTCTTTGTTGGTCAATTAACTGTAATTTTATCTATTTTTTTGGTGATATTACCATTCTCAATAATCTATAAAACACCCACATAACAACTTCACGTTAGATCGATCGGTGGGGACGCCATGGTGACGCTGGCAGGGTAAATTTTCGTCGGAAGGTAACAAGATGATAAACAGTTTCATTGGACTAAATTCTTGCTTATGTTTACCACATGCTTAGGCCTACCTAAGATTATAGGCCTACTGACTCTGATTTCAAATCACAGTCAAGTAGT